CATTTGTCAACACCCTTACAACATGATTTAAAACTTCACTTTTTGGGACCCTTACAAGCCAGACTGACTCCCTTTTAGGTCATCATTTGAAACTTCACATTTTTGAACATTCTCACATTTTAAAATCCACTCGGCATTGTGATTTTCTTACAAGTCAGACTGTTTCCCTACTTCTCAATTTTCACTGTGATTTATACAGAAACCTTATTTGAATAACCATTCTCATTCTTCTCAAATTTGCAAAAATAAAGGCCACAGTGTGACAAACACAACTCAGAATTTTATTTATTCTCAAACTTATGCATAAGTTTATTGGAGAAATTACACCCTCAAAAAAAAAAAAAAAAAAACAACAACAACACTCAAAACACCAAGAAAAATTCCATTTATAAGCTGATGATACAGCGCGTTCCAGGTGGAACGGTTCGGACTGATCCATGCTCCTCAAACTGGTGTCCGAGTGACCAAGCCCACCAGAAGACTTGCACCAGAGTTCAACGGGGAACGGGGAGTACCCCAGCGAACCCTCCGACAAGCAAGTTAGAAAAAGAAGTGGAATGTAGAGATAGATTAGAGATAGAAAGCTTAACCTTCTTTTTGTCTTCGACGTCTGCTTATATCCTCTGGTAATCATTTCGTTGTCCCTTCCGACTTGTCACCTTGGCCGAAAGTGTATGCTCTAGCTTACCTTGTTTATGGTGAAGGCATTCTGTCCCGACGGAGAGGGGTTATCGCAATAAATGCTGTAAGGGGCTTCATTAATGGCGATGTGCAGTGGCAATAACTTTGCAGATCTTTGTCTGCTTATGTGGCTTGCCGTTCTCTTACCATGTGTCTTAATGTCATCGGTTCTTATTGCTACGTGGGGCTTCAGCAATGCTGGGCTTTAGTATTTAAGTTATGTCTTGGGCCCTAAATGGTGAATTATAATTTTTATGGGCTTACCCATGTCAAGGTCAAAGATTAAGATTTAATAGGCCATGCTACTCTCTTTTCCTTGGAGGCCATGCAGTGAGTGGGTGATAAATTTGATATGCATGAATTGTAAACAGAGTTGCTAGGATACTAGACTTATTTATCTAGAAAAATGACCAGATAAACATTAGAGGGTGGAGATTTTATTTTAATGTGGACTCCGTCATACAAAAACCTGCACAAGAGTTCAACGGGGAACGGGGAGTCCCCCAGCGAACCCTCCGACGAGCAAGTTAGAAAGAGAAGTGGAATATAGAGATAGATTAGAGATAGAAAGCTTAACATTCTTCTTGTCTTCGACGTCTGCTTATATTCTCTGGTAATCATTTCGTTGTCCTTTCCGACTTGTCACCTTGGCCGAAAGTGTATGCTCTAGCTTACCTTGTTCATGGTGAAGGCATTTTGTCCCGACGGAGAGGGGTTATCGCAATAAATGTTGTAAGGGGCTTCATTAATGGCGATGTGCAGTGGCAATAACTTTGCAGATCTTTGTCTGCTTATGTGGTTTGCCCTTCTCTTACCATGTGTCTTGATGTCATCGGTTCTTATTGCTACGTGGGGCTTCAGCAATGCTGGGCTTTAGTATTTAAGTTATGTATTGGGCCCTAAATGGTGAGTTCTAATTTTTATGGGCTTACCCATGTCAAGGTCAAAGATTAAGATTTAATAGGCCATGCTACTCTCTTTTCCTTGGAGGCCATGCAGTGAGTGGGTGATAAATTTGATATGCATGAATTGTAAACAGAGTTGCTAGGATACTAGACTTATTTATCTAGAAAAATGACCAGATAAACATTAGAGGGTGGAGATTTTATTCAAATGTGGACTCCGTTATACAAAATTAAATCTAAACCGCATAATAAAATTTATGGATGAATTGTAGACAATTTTTCTGAGCAGTCCCGTTACAGAGCTCGATTTATTCATGCTTGAATATGGCTCGAACCCCAAAACGACGTCGTTTTGGTTTCAGTTTCTTTTTTCTTTTTTCTTTTTTCTTTCTTGCTAGAAGAAGAAGAAGAAGAAGAAGAAGAAGAACAAGAGAAGAAGAAGAAGAGGAAGCAGAACCAGAACCAGAAGAAGAAGAAAAAAAAAAACAAAACCGCACATCTTGATTGACGAATCAACATCTTCAGATCCAGTAGAAAAAAAAAAAAAAAAACAAATCAACATCTTCATCAACACAGCACATCTTCATCATCAACATCTTCATCAACACAACCAACAAATTTTTTTCCCTCTCTTCATTTTCAGCTCCAGATCCAGAAAAAAAAAAAAAATCATCAACGTCTTCATCAACACAGCACATCTTCATCATCAACATCTTCATCAACACAACCAACAAATTTTTTTCCCTCTCTTCATTTTCAACTCCAGAAAAAAAAATAGATGAGAAAGAAATCATCATCATCTTCACCGGCGATCACCATCGAAGCCATCACTGGCTTTTCCCCTTCTTCTATCATCCTCTTCTCTTCTCTCTTCTCCTCTCTCTCGCCTCTCCTCTGTATTCAAAAGCAACACAGAAAGAAAAAGAAAGAAAAGAAAAGAAAAGAAAAGAAAAAAAAACGAAAGCCAAAACAACGTCATTTTGGGTTTTGAGCCAATTCAAACCAAACGAAATTTCGAGCACTCAAACATTTCTATTTTCTGAGATCCTAGAGTTTTTTATTACAAATTGAACAATGTGTCATTGAGTTCAGAAACTTTAAAATAAAAAATAAAAGATAAATTCTTTATGGGGACTGCCATTAAAACCCAAAAAAAATCCAGTAACCATTGGATGAAATATATATATATATATATATATTACACATACCCAGTGAACGTATTTTCAGCAGTTTATTTTAAATTAATATTTGATAATTATAAAATATAATAATATTAAAAAGACATAACAATTTTTTACTAATACAATGAAATCATGTTCCTTAAAAACTGGAAAATGGTTTCACAACTTTCTCTTTGGTCCAACCCATCATAATTCATTACTTTATGTTGTAAGTGGATTACAAATCTCTGCACTTATTGATGGAAAAAGAAATAGGAAATAGAAAAGTGTATAAAGTAGAAGCCCATTTTTTTTTTAATGAAAATCTAATTTCAAGGAATCACATTTATATTTTAGGTTCCGTTTGTTTTAATGTAAAATATTTTATATAAAAAAATATTTTTTTTCATAAATTGATTTTACACCAAAAAAAAAAAAATTTGTTTTTTGGTGTTTGATTTACACTTAAAACAAAAACATTTTACTACCTAAAAGAAAAATTTTGATTTAATAAAATGTCATTTATAACTTTTTAGTAAATTAAGATACTTATTAAAAAACACTAAATATGTTGAATAGATTACAAAAATTTTAAGGATAAATGATTTTTTAAAAAACAATGTAAAAATATTTACTTATTTTTTGTTCAACTGAACAGTAATGTCAACAAAAAAAAAAGAAACAAATTATACTACTTTGTCATCCAAAAAAGTGACTTTTTGACAAAAAAAATAAAATAAAATAAAATAAAAAAGCAAAAAAATATAAAAGTATCAATAATGATTCACACTATTAAAAAAAACGATCTATTTTTTGTTCAACTGAACAGTAATGTCAACAAAAAAAAAAAAAAAAAATTATACTACATAGGCTTTGCGATCTTGCAACCGTTGGACGTGTGAGGCCCGCTGATCTGAACCGTCCAAACGATATGTATCATTTGTGTTGTAGGATATGAGCGCCAGCCAGCGGCCCAACTCTTGACATACCGAAGTCCGCATTCTCTCCCGTTTCCCGCGAAAACCTCAACTGTCAAAATTGCAGACCCCTTTGGCCATTATCTAGTACAATTCACCACCAACCCAACGGTAACCCTTCTCCCTGTTCCAACCAACTTCCCACCATCAATTCTATTCTCCCCATTTTTGTTTTCCAAATAATCTTTAATTTGTTTTTATAAAAAAAAAACAAAAAAATTAAAATAAAATAAATAAAATTCTTTTTGTAACTAAAATAACTCCTCCTCCTCCTCTTCTCGAAATCCAATCCCCATCGGAGTCCGCCATGGAAGAAGATGAATAGAATACTCAACAGGCCGACCTCCCGCCTCTGCCACTTCAGGCGACCTTTTTCTCACACCACCTTGTAGCAATTCCACATCCTATGGCACTACCAAATGCTCGACCCCGATGGCGACATCGTCACCCCTTGGAACCACATCTTCCTCATCTCCTCTCTTCATCGATCCTCTCTACTTCTACCTCCCCTATGTCAGCACCCCCGCCTGCATGAGCACCGTGTTAGGAATTGACCCTTCCTAACCAAGATCGGTGAGACACGAAATAACAAACAAAGAAGAAAAAACGAATCAAACAAATCATACACACAAGAATATAAGGATTTACATGGTTCACCCCAGAATAGGACTACGTTTACGGCTGCTGTGATTTTCACTATGATTGGAAAAAATACAACTCTCTTAACCTAAAAGAGACACCCCTCATCTAGTTAGTAGCCAAAACTAACTATACAGCGACCAAAATATTTTTTAATTGCTAAAAATAATTTTTTGGCGACCAAAAGATAAAAACTAAATTTTTGTTTTTCATTCAGCGAGTAAATAATTTTAGTAGCTAAAACTAATTATACAACGACTAAAATATTTTTTAGTCTCCAATAGTGGCATTTTTAGTGACTAAAATTTTTTTTAGTTGCCAATAATCAATATACCCCGACTAAAAAAAACTAGTAATTAAATATTATACTTTTGCCGACTAATATAATTTTTGATAGCCAATTCCACAACCTTTGGCAACTAAATTGTTTTTAGTCATTAAAAGTGCATTTTGTTGTAGTGTTAATAATAAAAATCCAAAATTTGAAATGTGTGGATTAAATTTTTAAAAATTCTGAGCACTTTCGTAAATAATTTTTGAAATGCATAACATTTCCACACTTCTTAAATGAGTACATTTTATTTATATCTTACTACCATACATAACTGAGGAATGAAAGTCTAGTTCAGGCATAAATATCTAGAAATCAAACAAGATCATTATCATTGCTTTCATTTGGTGTGACTGAGCCCATAATGGACCCTTCAAAAAAATTTGCTAGACTGTGTCAACTATATTTACAAGTGAACAGATCATTTGTATCCACACAAGAATATTAACAAAAAAAAAAAAGAAAAAGAAAAAAAGAATCAGCAATGTGTTTATCATTACTGATCTACCATAAAATTTAAGACAAATTGTCATACGAAGAATCCTAACTAACCTCCAATTAGTTCCTTTCATCCTTCACCGATTTGATCATGACTCCTCCACAGCTTCATACTAAACTAATCATCCTCTCGGATTACAGAGAAATCAGGTTCATCCGGCTTAAACAACTTTGGCATTTTTAGGCTAGCAGTCGGTTCGACCAGCTGAACCTTCTGGATAACCCCTCTTCTCGTATTTGCAGCAAACTTCGAAGCCAAAATTGTGGCTCCAAGATGCTGAACGTTGTTTGGATTATCAATCAATGGGCTCTCACTGCTCTCATCATAATAATTGTCATCATCTTCCCCGTTAATGTAGCTACTTTCCCCGTCTGGGATTAAAGTATAGTATAAACTCTCTTGTTGAGCCAATTCCCTGGCCAGTTTTTTCTTTTGGTACCTTCTCCAAGCAGCTTGTAGAAAACAAGCTCCCCATGTCCTCCACTGGTGTGAATAGTATCTGAATGCGTGCTGGAGCTTCTTGCTATGAAGATGCTTGAACTGATTCGCAACGAATTTCAGATCTTCAGCACGAAGTGCAAAGGCTTCAACTTCAGAAAGTGTTCTGACAGTTCGAGTTGAAGAAGGCAGGTTCAAACTCGAGTTGGGCATCAAGGCCCATGTTAGTAACTCTTCACCACAGAAGTCACCGGGTCTGAGTGTGATGGAGTTGAAAAATCCGGACCTTCCTCCATTGGTTGTGGAGCTCTCTAATTGTCCCCTAATGATAAAGAGCATCTCATTTACTGGATCATCCTCTCTAACAATGTAGGTGCCTTGTGTACTCAACGATGAGACCAAGCGTTCACATATGGCATCAAGTAGCTGATCATCCATTTGTGAGAAGAATGGGACCTGTAAAATGAAAGAATGATAAATAAGCTGTTTTTAACAACTCGGTCAGAGTAAATATACTTATTCGCTCAAACTTGATGGATGTAAACATGAACAACAATCACATTAAAGTCTACCAAACAAGACGTACACGCCGAACAAGGTTAAGACATAGATGCCGTTGAATTTGACGACGGAGGTCTAGAGGCAAGGACTGCAAAATAGATTCTTCATTAACTCCTCTTGTGGCTAGCCATTTATACTGAACAAACCGACGGACACGTTCTTGCAATTCTGGAGGTAATTGCCGGTGCCTCATCCACTCCTCTGTATCTCTTCGTTTTACCCTCCATTCTTCAAGTCTCACCGTCATAGATTGCAAATAAGTCTTCAAGGAAAAAAATAAGAAAATGATTAAATTCCATCCAGTATTTTAAGTTAAATCATCAATAAATGATATATAACCCATACAAGCTCAGAACAGTTATTCAAGGGATGGTTTGCTAACTTTTTTCTGGAAGATTACTCAAGTTCTCTGTTACTCATTGTCACTATTTTGGTTTATCTATCAGACATTTATCGAAACAGTAAGCCTACAGTGATAATCTGCCAAACTTACAGTGATAATCTGCCAAACTAACAGTCTAATACGTTTATAAGTTAATGTTGTCAACCATTACTAATCACTTTATAAATACCCACACGCAATAACAAATGATGTATGCAAAAATACAGGTAGAATAGAAACTTAAAATATGCGGCTTATGTATGCTTAAAAAACACAATAGCTAAATGCATATGTGCATCCATATTTACTTCAATTATTTGGATTAAATTGTTCTGGATGAGTATAATTAAAGTGACACCTTTGAGTTACCACAGTGCAATATTTTACATAATCAAAGGTACTCGGCTAACTAATTTCTTGCTTTTCATAATCATATGCACATGGAATGAATGTGTACACCATGTTTCAAAAATGAGAGCACATTTACAGAGACTAGGAGCCTAATGCTGTATTTCTTACATAAGTAGATCCAACAGATTAAAAGCATACCAAAATACATTAGAGGTGTCCTAGATGCTTATTATCGGAAGCCAGCAACAAGTGCATATTATATCAAACCCTACAATGACAACCATCACTACATCAAGTAACGACGAGAATTCAAACGGATGCAGAAAATATTACCTGCATTTGGCCTATCAACTGTGCGAATAGAATCAAACCCCCAATGCATATAACGATGCAAAACAATGTCTCACCGATATAAATGCTTGTCGTCAAATTCTGTCCATATGAACTGCAAGGCAGGTTATAAGCATGAAAACCAAATTAAGAATTTTAGACATAATCACTAAATATAACAAAATTTATTATTCACTACCAAGCAAAAAGTATGCTCCTATCAACAGTGAGCAACTGAATGCTCAACTGAATATCAAACTATTGATTATAAGCATTTTCAGACACCTAGAGTTTATGAAAGTCAGAACTAGATAATCAATTGATTACATCCACCATTTTGAAAAACTACCAAAAATCCTCAAGTCAGAGGTCTCCCAAATAACCATAGGGTGGACATCAAATCCTTGCCAAGATACTTCCGATGGTATACCCACAGTGATTAAGTCCAGTGAGCATATAAGCTCTTTAAGTCGTACATAGACAAAACTGTACTAAAACCTCTAAAGTTAGTATGTTCCTATCTAGACATTAAACTGATATTTCATTGAAACACACCGGTAAAAAGTTGCATGTGTAGTTCAAAATATGCCCTAACTCATATAATAGAGTTACTAACTAAAAAAATGAAAAAATGATGTCAAACAAACAAATCGGGGGGAAACAAAAAACAAAAATAAAAACAAAAACAAAAACAAAAACAAAAACAAAAACAAAAACAAAATATTCAACACGGTGAGGAACAGACCTTAAATTTCTTAAACCCCACCATAGGCAATAAAGATACTTTTCAATGAAAGGTGACGAAGCAACTTCATTTGTAAAAGCATCTGAAAACATTCCAAACTTAAAATCGGTATCATCTTTCTTTGCATCACAACGAGCAATTGCACGTGTGGCATTTAGCCAACGATTTCGTTCAGGTTGATCTAGACTGTTACAATCCAGATAATTAAGGACACATGATGCAACTGCATTCTTTTCATTTTTGCACTCAAGTCTCCAGCAGGAGTGTTGCCGCCCTATGGACAATAGTAACTAAATACTAGTACCTGACAACAATAAATGACAAAGATCAGTTGGTGATTTTCTGTGTGTTATTCACTGCCAAAAACAAGATTGTACTCTGGCAACTTTTAAAAAAAAAATGATAACATGACAGGCAAAAAGGGCGATCTGATGTTTACATGACTGGCTAGCATGTAAAGAAGGAGATTGTATGCAGCTCCTGCCCAAGCAGTCCTGGCAATGGCGCCTGTAGTTTTTATAATCCTCTGGTTCAAGGGAAAAATGAGAAACAATCTAGGAATATACTGAATGAGAACAATGAGAGCAAGAGTATTGTTAGCATGATCAGCTCTGGAATTCCTTGTTGCTGGAATTACAATCCAGATGAGAATCTGCAACACAAGAAAGTTACCGGAAATTGAACTTTCAACCATGAAGCATAATAATTTTGAAAATATGTAAAGCAAAAATTTTGACCAACTTTTGCCGGACAACTTAACCAATTCAAACAAATTCTGTGCTTAATTAAGCTTCTGATCTGCCACTCTTGTATGCAAGCTCGTAGTGTGTATTGACCCTGTTTTGTACATTCAACTCGTGAAATAATTGTAAGTGTAAATTTCACTTTACCCGTCGTGGTTTGGAAATAATTACGTGGTTTGTGAATTAAAGTGCGCTGTCAGACCCATTAACTGCTTAAGTGAAAAGATGAATACTTGAAGAGTGATTTAACTCTTACATTTAGAAATGAGCACATAAACCTTTTATATCCCATCACATGTTTCATACTTGCTGTTAACATGATAGATACCTGACCGTGCTATTTAGTCCACAAACCAGAGATTATGTAAACGGCACATGGATCAAACGACAAGGTTAAAGTCAAATTTGCCCTAATCACAATTAGGGTTCATCCTAGGCAACAATTGTTAATGCCAGTACTTGTCTTTCTTTTCAATATCATTCCTTAAAAACAAAATTGTAACTTTCCCCTTCTAAATTCATGTCATAAAAATTAGACGAAACGAAAAATTGCAAAAAACTCAAACAATTCCCAACAGGAAGAGCGAAAATGAGAGAAATGGAAGGACTTGCCTGAGGTAAAGGAAGCGTAGCGGCGAGATCGATAAGGAAATCGGACTTCAAGTAACGCATGGCGATCTGATGAGCGTCCATGACGAGCTCACCCCTGCCAAAAACCCTAGAACTAGGGGCAACAAAGGCGGTTCGAAACTTGATGAGCATGTGGAGCAAGTAGAAGAGATCGGTGAGGGTACGGAAGAAGGTGATGGCGACGCCGAGAGCGGTGTCGGTGCTCATGCAGGCGGGGGCGCCGACGTAGGGGAGGTAGAAGTAGAGAGGATCGATGAAAAGAGCGATGAGAGATGAGATGAGGAAGATGTGGTTCCAGAGGGTGACGATGTCGCCGTTGGGGTCGAGGATTTGGTAATGCCATAGGATGTGGAACTGCTCCGAGATGGTGTGAGAAGAAGGTCGACTGAGGTGGCGGAGGTGAGAGGCTGGCCTGCTGAGTATTCTATTCATCTTCTTCCATGGCGGACTCCGATGGGGATCGGATTCCGAGAAGAGGAGGAGGAGTTATTTTTGTTAAAAAAAAAGAATTTTAATTTAATTTTTTTTGTTTTTTTTTAAATAAAAAAATTAAAGATTATTTGGAAAACAAAAATGGGGAGAATAGAATTGATGGTGGGAAGTTGGTTGGAACAGGGAGAAGGGGGTTACCGTTGGGTTGGTGGTGAATTGAATTGGATAACGGCTAAAGGGGTTTGCAATTTTGACAGTTGAGGTTTTCGCGGGAAACGGGAGAGAATGCGTGGATTTTTGTGTGTCAGAAGCTGGGCCGCTGGCTTGCGTTCGTATCCCACGACACAAATGATGCGTATCGTCTTGGACGGTTCGGATCAGTGGGCCTCACACGTCCAACTGTTGCAAAATCGCAAAGCCTATGTGGTATAATTTTATTTTTATTTTTTTTGACATTACTGTTTAGTTAAACAAAAAATAACTAAATATTTTTATATTATTTTTAAAAAAATCATTTATCTTTAAAATTTTCGTAATCTTTTTAACATATTCAAGATTTTTAAATAAATATTTTAATTTACTAAAAAATTATAAATAATATTTTGTTGGGATCGACATTTGAAAGGAGTAACATCGAGATCCAAAGAGCTCGATGCTGATGACAATGATGATGATAAAGAAGAAGAAGATAATAGTGATGAATTAGGGAAGAAACAAGACATAACAAAAATTTCAAATGACATATGATAAAGATTCAATTTTTTCTCGTACTAAGCCCAACACCAATTTACTCCGAATCATCATTTTTGGAGTTTGTGTGTTGATTTGGGTCATTCAAAATTGAAACCCATAAAGTACTTGATGATGATGATGATAGTGGTGATGGTGGGAGAGAAAGAATGGAAAAAAAAATGAAGGGATTGACATTGAGGGAGAAAGAAAGTGGGAGGTTTGGGGGAAGAGTTGGGAAAGGAAAGATTGAGGATGGTCGGATTTGATTTTAGGGGAGAGAGAGAGAGAGAAGGAAAGAACGAACACTTGGGTGGCCCTGGCTGATTTCAATCAAAGGTTTGACTCCAAAAAGGTAAATATTGGCTGTGTGTAGGCCGTTTTTTTTTTTTTTCAATTATAAATTAAAATATCTATATATATCTCATTTTTTATGTTTTATCTCCAATTACATCAATCTTTGTCCGTTTCTATTATGGAGGTGTTTGGAAAGAAGATTGTGCTAAAATAACTCAAAAAAAAAGATAAAATAGGTTAAAATAATTAATAAGATAATATGTTACACTTAATTCATAATTATTTCATTTTTTTTTTACAATCATCAAATCAATTATAAAAAAAAAAATCAATTAACTTTCTAAATATAACTATTTTAACTAGACTAAGGGTTAATTTGACAAGATAGTTAAACATACTAATTTGTCATTTATAACTTTTTAGTGAATTAAGATACTTATTAAGACACAATATTATAGTCAATTTTATTTATTTTTTATTTTTTATTGTTACATATTTTTATTTTGTATACTTCTTTTACATACATAATCTAAATGTGTTTTGTAAATAGATCTAATATAATTTATAAGGCAGAGTTACATATGTATATATTAATTCATAAAAATGTTTTTAAAATTTAAAATTTATTTTTCTAAATGTACTTTGTAGCTAGATCTAATATAATTTATAGGACAGTGTTTCATATGTATCTATTAATTTGTAAGAATGTTTTTAAAATTTTAAAACTGTTTTTCTGATTTATATTCACTCAATTTACATACATTTAAAACGTTTCATATTTATTACATTTATTTTTTATATTTTTTTACATTTTGTTTACTGTTTACGTATATTTTTTGGATCACCCATATATATCTAAAATACAACAAATTATTTTTCCAATCTTTAGAAAAAAAATTTAAAATAACTTTTATTTCTACTACACATCAATCAATCATTTTTTCTTCTTTCCTTCTTCTTTCTCAATCACTTTTCTCCTATACTCAGCTATTCAACTAAAAAAAAAATATTAAATCATCTCAAATTCCAAAACTATTTTCAAAATATATAATAAAACAAATTTTTAAATTTTCTAAACTCCCTCCAGAAAATTATTTTTGAAATAATATATTAAAACGCAAACCAAATAAGGCCAAATTTAAAACTTATTTAGTTATGAATTTTGAAAAGAGTTTAAAATTTTAAAACTTACTTGGTTATGAGTTTTAAAAATGGTTTTTAAATAGCTGAGTTGAATATATGTTTTTGGATTTTGAAATTATAATTTGAAAAGTAAATCAAATGGAATTTACAACATATCTTCAAAATTTAAGATCAATAGCCGAGGTTATAAGTTTAAAAACCTGTCTTAATTTTTAATTTATATATGACACTTTAATTTAATTTTTATTAATTATTTATGAGAGGGTAATTAATAAATAAATTAAGCCGAGCTAAGGAAGAATCTTCTTTGGAAACTGGGCTGTGCATTGGGCCGAAATAATAGCTGGGGTAGCTCGGTCGTAAAACTAGCGAGCTATGGGCCGAGGTGAGTGGGCTTCACAACTTGGACCTCGTTTCTGTTAGTCAGAATCAGAGGCAACCGAGGTATAGGTGGGACGGGGACCGAGCTAGGCATTATGCATAGAAGCGCCGAGCTAAGTTCGCCGTTGGGCCTAGTTAGCTCAGTCTTAAATAAATAGCCCAGTTAGAGTATGCCTAACCGAGGTACAGGCATTGAAGGGAAGATCCGAGCTAGGCGAAGCTCGGTCAAATCTACTGCTTAAGCATGGCAATGTTAGCTCAGTCGTTTTGTCATACTACCAAACTAAAACCATTTCACTTGGTTGAAGCAGTGATAAGGGTGTTAAGGGATAAGCATTATCTTTTACAAATGTGATTCCTAAGATGACTCTACATTGAGAAGTAAGAGTCCTACTAGGATCGTGCCAAGCAAAAACTATAAAAGCTCACAACAGAACCTATGTACAAGTATCACAACTTTGATTCTCGAATACGCAGAGCTTTTGTCTATTTGTCTATTTTGCTGACTTAGGCATCAGAGAGGTATCCGACACACACCCGTCGGCTAGCCCACGTTTATGTTTTCAGGGAGTAAAACGACGACGTTTGGAGGAGCGCAAACTTGATCAACAGGATTATGCGAGAACATTATTTTGTGCTCGTACAATTGGCGCCGTTTGTGGGAAGTCCACAAAGAACAAAACTCTTGATCAAGCTTTCTTCTCTAGTTGGAAGCAATGGCGCACAATGAAGACTTGCCGCAATCGGCTATTGATGGGCAAACCCCGGAGGGGGGTGAGAGGCGCGAAGGTTTTCCTTCTATCCCTCCCATGGCGGATTTAGAACCCCAGCGACAAAACCCCCGGAGAGATGCAAGGGGGAGACGGGGCGGCAACCCCCGTCGCTCTCAAAGTCCCGAAAGACAGAGGCAGAGGTTGGATCTTCAAGTTCTGGAGGAACACGTGAGGGAGTAGGACGAGCTAATTAGGAAGATGACGGCAGACATGAAGACAATGAAGCGCCAGATAAAAGGGAAAGGGGTGGTGACAAGAGAGGGGTGCAAAGGTAACATGCCCCCTCGCCACTCGGAGGATCGTGATAGGCATACCATACCATCACAAGCAGAAAGTAGGAGCCTTAGAACAGACGACACTGTAGACACCCTATTTTTGACCGTCCTCAAGACTTGGACGTCATCGTTTGAACACCCGATGATCATCCATACCCGTGTTCGTTTTGAGTTCCCGAAGGTCTCAGCTGTGCGCCTTGCCTTAGGATCTCTCAACTTGTTTGTTTTTGTGCTTGGTTGTGGACCAAGAACTTGTGGTTTTGCTTCTGAGGGAAGAGGGTGGCTTGTTGGCCATCCCCTCAACCCATTGGCCAAAGAATGAATCCATCGGCCTTGTTTTTAGTTTTGGCCGATCAGCACTCTTTTTAGTCGTTCGGCCGTTGTGTTGGTCGATCGGCCATGTTTTTTCGCCGAACCCTATTCATCTGCTTTATGCAGATATTCTATGCCAGCTGTCACAGCTGGCATGAACAATTCACCCCCTCCATACACGTGTATGGAGGGATTTGCCCCTTGGCTTAGCTTCTCCTAGAAGCTTTGAATTTGGTTCTCTATAAGAGAGAACCATCTCCTCCCTCCTCAAGGGTTCTGATTTTTAGGGTTAGAGAAGTTGTATCTATTTATCTATCTCTGTATTTCCCTCTCTTTGCATCTTTGTGTGTGTTTTTGTGCTCTAAAGGGTGTTTTGTTCTCACTATTGCACACAAACACCTAGCAATACACCACCCTTGGCTGCTAAGGTCCTAAGTAGTTGGTGTTAGGGTTCTTGAGGTGATTTTGATTAGAGAAAGTTGTTGGAGTGGTGTTCTTGAAGAGGTTCTTCAAGGGTGAGCAAACTTGCTTTTAAATGGGCGAGGCAGGTGAGCCAACAGGGAGGACCCATAAAAAAGGAGGTTAAGAGTTCGCACTACTATCACCACCGTGTTCAATAAACCCATCTACCGAATTCTCAGCGAGATAAAGAATGAACCCTTCGTTTGGCGGCCAGCCAAGTTGGGAATAGCGCAAAGGGGCTACGACGAGAGGTCCCGCTGCACCTTCCATGATGAGAAGGGGCACCTAACTGAAAATTGGACACCCCTGAAGCAACATCTGGAAGAATTAGTAGCTGCTGGTCACCTAGACCAGTATATTAAAGAGGGAACACAGCTAGGCCAGGACCTTAATGGGCCAAACGGGATGCCGGTCAACGCTCCATCTCAAGGTGTAATTAACGTTATACATGGGATATTCGAGCCTGAGCGGGTATGTGAGCTCAGGGGGATGATAAAAAAGGATGAGCACTTAAGGGAGGTATTAAGTGCACAACCTGCCATCAAAACGGGGAGAACAGAGGCCATAAATGTCATATCTTTTTCAGACAAAGATTTAGCAAGGATATACTGCCCTCACAATGATGCACTGGTCGCCACTCTACGTGTCAAGAATTTTGACATCAAGCGGCTTTTGATTGATCAAGGAAGCTCATGTGAGATAATGTATTACGAAACCTTTAAATAACTGAAACTGGAGGACAAAGACCTGGCACCCGCAATATCTCTCCTAATCGGATTCAACTCAATGCCAGAATGGCCAATAGGCAAGATAATCCTCCCAGTCAAAGCTAGGACCATGACTAAACAAGTGGAATTCTGGGTATTGAAGGTCCCTTCCACTTACAACATAATCCTGGGAAGAACATGGCTACACACCATGCGATCGGTAGCGTTAACCTACCATCAAGCACTGTGGTTCCCC